GGGCATTCAATTGGCTGGATTTCGACGCTGAGCATGCACAGAGATGTCAGCGAACATGACTCCTCTGCGACTATGGATTGGCCATGGGCGTGACACACACCACGAAGTGCTGCGGAAGCGAACCGGAAGTGTTGTGAAGGGTCTAAGTCGAAACTTCAGCATCACATGTCGTTGCTAATCTAATTGAGAGGCCCGTTTAGCACCCTGCAGGAAGAATGCATGCAGATATCATGCATATGTGCCATGGTAGAGACCCTCAGCTAGCAGTCGCTCCGGGAATGCAGTTCCCCAAGCCAAGATCATCGTCATTGGTGGCATCCGAGATGCATTCAGAAGTAGACCAGGGTACTGGATCATTACAAGCCTACACGCTCATATGTGTCTTATAACGGTGTCAAGTTTACCCCGTGTGTGTGTGTGTGTGTCTCTGTGTGTGTGTGTGTGTGTGTGTGTGTGTGTGTGTGTGTGTGTGTGTTTGTGTGTTTGTGTGTTTAAGTACCTGCGGATTGTCAACAATTGTGTTCCCACCGCACACACCCGCGAAAGTACTGTAAATGATTTCCTCTTCGTTTTTGGGTCGTTTGTGTGGGAGCTCTCTTCGAGAGGGCTTTGCTTCTCTCAGGGACTGAGAGGTGTCACGCGTGATGCCAAGGCTGTATGGATCAGTGGTTCATACCACTGTACAAACTGCTGACATCCGAGGCGCCTGCTCCAAAGCAAGTCAGTAAAGTTGTAGGTGAAGTCTTGTTTGAAAGTGCCTGCCTACTGTAGGGTGGCCAGTGGGTGCCACGTTGGAAAAAAGAGGCAAACTTGGGGGTTGGAGAGCTTGGGATTCAAAGCCCTACTCCTGACGACGAGGTTTACCAATGGTTTTTGAAGTCGTTACATTGGAAACATGGGAAATCGTAAGCCTAGCCTGTGACCTGGGAGGAGGGGACAGACGACGAGAGACGGTCGTCGGAAGGGGTAGCATAGGTGCCCCGAATCCGAATGTGCGTTATAACCTCTTCGCATAGGCTGGCAGATGACCAAGCGCCACATGCAGGCTGTTTCCCCAGAATTGCACGGCTCTGCTGCGAGGCCGGTATGGATGAGAAAGACTCAGACAAGTCCCTGAGCACCTCAGCACATACTTGAACATGATGGGATTCCAGCTGCCCAACAGGTAGCCGGGCTTTCTTGTGATGGTAGAGCGGGGGCAGGCGAGCAGGATGCTATACATCGTGAGGCAGGTTCGTGCACCAACGGTGCTTTCAGCGTAACGACTCTCAGAGAGGTCCCCAAAATCAAGCCATGATAAATCATGCTACATCGCTTGGAGGCCATCCGCTAAGACTATCTATGATGGCCATCAGGAGCCCAATAAATACCAACTGATGGCCATCAGGGGCCCCAATATATACCAATATGATTTTCTAGGTTTTCTTAGCTGTTATAACATAAACTACCCCAAGTGCCCATTTTATCGAGCCCTTTGCTTCTTGTTGCGACCTCCGAGGCAATGTCATGAACATGTTGAGGTGCCTTGGCCAAGGCATCTGACATGAGTCGTTGCGGTAATGGTGCCTGGAGTGATGGGGGCCCATGCCATGTGGCAGCGCAAAGACAGTTACGACATTTTTAGATGTCTCTGCCACTCAGGATGCTTCGGCTTGCTCCTAGTCTGCAGATGTTCTTCTCACCCTTGGGATTGGGGTGCAATATTGAACTGCAGGTTCTTGCATGTAGGTTTGCGATTATTTGCGCGTTCTCGCTGGCTTCCTTGCTTGTCGCTCCGTTTACATTTGTCACGTCCCTCTCTTTCGCTCTCTCTCTCTCTCTCTGTCGCGTCCTGTGGCGTTTCGTGACAGTTAACTTCATGTTGAAATCAGTGCTCCTCAGCTCCCGACTGACCAGGTCCGACTCCTCCGGTTGGTGCGTTTGGAATCTTGCCTGCACAGCCAGTCGTTGGGCTTTCACGCAATCCGGAGTGATGTGTTGCAGAAGACAAGCACATGCTTTGAGAACGCAGGCCCAAAGACATAGCGCTTCACGCCACACATCTACTGTTGCGCACGGCCACAGACATGTGCCGAAGAGGCAAGGCTTCACCTCAACACAGAGTTCTCAGGTTCGCGGCATCCCTCCACTCTACAATCTTCTGAAAGGTATCCTCTCAGCCATGCAGGGCATGGCCTGGTGCTTCGGATGCAGAGGCAAACTCCAAGTTTTGGATTCTAAAGGGGCTGAAATGGACCAAGTGCTTGAGTGCGTAGCCCGCCGAATTCGCGGACTCTTTGTTTGTGGGCGAGTTGAGGCTGCCGGATCTGTGTGAAGCGGCACTTGTCGTATGCCAAGGTTGTTGCTGCTTACGATTGCCGCACCTTGCCATCCAAGTTTTGATAGTTGGTTGCTTGTTTGTGGACGTTGTTCGGGGAGGAGTTCAGAATCGTCCGGGCCGTGATGGTTTGGCTTCGTGTACTTCAGCCTGTCAAAAGACAAACATCTTCGGGCCTGTCGCTATGGCTGGGGTCGGTGGCAGTCTGAGGCTGCGCATGTTGGGCCATGTCAAGATGAGAATACAATGTCGTGTCTTTTTATTGCGTGTGGTTTGTAGCGGAGTTGTAGAGGGCACATCTGCTACAGATTTCAGACGCGATGCCGAGGTCATCTACATTATCGCCTTGGTCGCCATGAAGTTGCTGGGAAAGGAGTGCGGAGTCCTGCCAGAGTTCCAGACGACCTCAGAAGGCTTAAACCCTGAACCCGGTCTAGAAAACCCTGCTCTCCTCCTGATGGGTGGAGGACGGCCTGGTCACCGCGGCTGATTCTGATGACATCCGAGGTGTATTTCCGTCGGTCGGCACCTGGTATGCACCCAGGGCACTAGCTAGAGCTCAGGGGGTCATGATCCATTGAGCTTAAGTGAAGGTCCGGTTCTGGTACGCCACCAGCTTCCCCTGTGCGAATGTGTTTAATGCCAGGGTTGCATCATTGAAGTGGGTGGAAATAGAAATTGGAGGGCCCGGAATGGCCGAGAAATGGCAGAAGCCCGCACCAAATCCATCAATTTATCGGTATCGGGGAGGCAGGTGGCAATTCTGAGGGGCGACGATACTAATGCGACGAGGCCAAGTTTGTTTTGGGTTTGGGTCGCACTTTATTTCGGATTGCTTCAGCGCTTGCCCGAAAGGAGCCGCAGGCCGGTCGAGACCCTTACCCTAAGATCCTGGAGTCTTTGTTGTCGACAAACGCTGAGGCCCTTTCAGGACTAAAGCCCCCTTGTCTTGCAGGGGGTGATGAACTGATATGACTGTTTCCCAAATAGGGGTACCTCTTTATACCCCAAGTGGAATAGAATCCCCTTAAAGGCACCCCCCATAAAGGGTGCCCCTATTTTCGGAAACCACCGTGTGTGTCATGATGTGTTTTTGGACTGCTTGCTTCCGCCGCAGCCGTTCCCTCAGACGGCAAACCCACTGGCCCTTTCCGAACTTGCACGCCTTCGCTGAACACATCAGGACACACCGCCAAGACACATTAAACAGGCTTTCTGACAGACTGACCCCCTTGCTTGACCCCCTTGCTGTCTGACATGTGGCTACCATTGCCCTGGCATAGAGCAGTCTAGTTAGTTGGGTCAGAAAAACTGAGAGGAACTAAGTCACACCACGATTCCATTCGTTCTGCCAGAAGGACCATGGCTGGCGACCCCACACAGCAGGAAGAGGAGAGGCCGCCGAGGATGACTTTAGAGCAGTTCGGCTTGGTGCAGAGGGGTTTTTGGGCTTGGCCATCAAGAGTTCGCCGAATTGCCAGCTTGATGCCGACCTCGGACCAAGCTAATGAAGTCCACATCATGTCCTTGCGATGCCCCTACAAGCAAGTGCAAAGCATCCCTGCGGCATGCGCAACGCGAAGAGCCGAGGCAGGCGCAAGAGCACGTTGAGTACGACCTGTCGATGAAGTGCTTCTGGCGTTGGTTTGGCAGCCAGGGGTTTCGGAGGTGTTTTGCGCCCGAGACCCTGCGCAGCCCTGCTCGAGCTTCATCATGTTCTCCCCGTTGCAATGCAAGGTTCGCATTAGCTCATTGTCTAGGCCCGTCCTTCCTGCTGCCCGCGTCAGCAGCCAGGATGGTGCCCTTTCTGGACAGACATCTCATCTTCCCGGTGTTCAACTTCCTCCAGGCCCCGAGCTTCCTTCTTGCACCCATGCTGTTGCAAGTATCTTAAGCACTTGTGTATGGCTTGTGGAAAATTTGTCGGCCGCAGACTGTCAGTTCCAAGCTAGTCTATAAAATGTTTCGAAATTGGTTTGTTCGTTTCTGGGCTTAAGAACCCAAATGCCGTCGCACAGGTCGGGCGCCAGGTTTAGCTTAGGAGGGGATGCTTTGGCATTCGTTCTTTGTCACGCTCAAGGCATGAAAGGCCACATGTGTTCTCGTGCTTATCACGCTCACATCAAGCATCAAGCTCGGCACGTTACGTGATCAAAAGGTGTGCATAGCTTCTGCGTCCTGCAGCCTGTGGACGCGGGGCGAATCGTAGAGTGGCCAATTCTCAGAGAAGAACGCCTTCGCTGGCAAGCCCACCCTAAGATATTTGTGTTGCTTGGTGGTTTCTTGGTTTGTACGGAATGTAAACCTTCTGCACAGGAGACTGGCCTGTACAACCAGACGGCCATCCAGCGGGCGCAGCTGACACTGCTCGCAGAAACGCAATCTGGCTTCACTGATAAGGACGTATGTATATATAAATATACAACTTCATATTGCATTACCTTGCAATAGTATGTTCTTATTATTAAATGTAGTCGAGCTATTTTGTAAATCATAATGTCATAACATCTCATACGTATGTGTGTATATATATATATAGCATAGAGTTGGAAGAGATCCCTCGAACAGTCCTGATTTTTTACACTGGTAGCCCACGGCATGTTGCAGCTGTGTTACAAGGCTTAAAGCTCCAGTCTCTGTTGGCTCTCAAAAAGCTGACAGAAGGGGCATCAAACTCAGGAACATGATCGACTGGGCCCTAGAGACTTACACCATGATCGGAGAGGAGCAGCCCCAAGAGCTCATAGACAGGCTCGCTGATTCACTTGGGCGTCCGCATGCGCCCGTGGTTATGTGGCAGGCGTTGAATCAGAACTGCTTTGGGCTTGGGACCAGCAAGCGAAGTAAGTTTGGGATGAGATGCGACAGTCAGTTGAAAGGGAGCTACTGCAACAGCGTGTGACATGTTCCGCGTACGTCCTTGCAGCCAGGCGAGATCTGGTCTTGCAGCAGCTGGAGCTTTCGAGAGAGAAGGCCGGCAGCGCAAAGTCTAAACGGGTATTTCTTCAAAAAAGTGGGCCTTATATACCGCAAAGTGCTATAATCCTTGTGATTCGAACCCCAAAAAGCGGGACCCCTGATTTTCGCCACGAGAGACCGACTGGGCCAGCATAGAGGCATGAGACCTTCAGCATTAGTCCGATGTCGTGATGACGGGCTCCGGAGCACAAGTGCTCAGCATGGGTTAGCCGGGGAATCTTTTCAGATCATCTGCTCAAATCGCTATTCGAGGACCGGTCGGAACATGGCAGCATGCATTGAGGGTGCCCTAAAAGTGCTAAGATGAAGACCTGACCATCTGGCCAGCAGTAGCACATTCATAGTTGGGCTGCGTACGGATGATGTGCCCGTTGGCATAGGTTCTGCCGCTCTTGGAAATTCTGGAGGCCACGAGCTTAGAGAGTACTCAGCAAACCAGCAGTGCTCAGAATGTTCCTAAGCCAGCGTTGAAGCGGAGTAAACTTGGCGGCAGTTGCCTCAGCCACTCAGGAAGAGGAGCAGGTTGAGAAGGTGTCGAAGTGCAAGACTTCTGGCAGCATTTGGGCGCTTGGGTTTTGCACTCCTTGTGGCGGGGGCGCGCAGCTTCAGCCAAGACTGGAGTAGTTGAGACACGGCGGCTTGCACGTTGGTTGTAGGGTGACTGCTTGAATTGGTGGTGGCCGGTGGAAGTGGCGCAGCTGGATTGCACAAGGTCCATCGAGGAGCTGTGCTCCACTTTCAGCCTCGACCCGTCCGTCATTGACGGACTGCCAGGGCCGAATAGACCCATAAGTAGACAGTCACAGCTGTCATCACTGCATGTGGACAAGACGTGTTGGGAGCGCAGGACTGGTGCACTATGCCAAGCTGCAGTACGACTGCGGGAACTACACCTTGAGCGGCGAGCTCCTCAAGCACTACAGACGGATGATCTCCCAGGACTGCGGATGACACGACATGGCGGCCATAAGCAAGAAGCCCGGCACAGCTTCTACGCTCCATAAGGGATATAGCTACTGTATGTTACTGTGATAGAGACCCAAAAGCCCCCATGATTCATATTGGATCGTCAGAGGATGCCGAGCGCCCTATGATGACCTCCAAACAGGCCAGACTTGCCGGGGTCACCAGAGATCCTCCCCTTGGTGTGCTGGTGTTGCCACCGTCTGCCAAAGCAACACGTGCGCACGCCGAACATCGCCGAACTTGGCTAGGAAGATCTCAGCTGAGCCTAAACTGCTTCCACATAGTATTGGCCTATGTCTCGTGGCTCTGGGTGTGATGTGTTACAGCGGACAGCGCCAACTGCAGGTGAGCTGCATTTGGGGAACGCTGGCATCTTTCATTTTGCCACCAGACTGCAAGTCTTCACGTCTCTTCCATCTCATTCTCTCACCTTGTCCACGGTCGCATCTGCTCGTGCTCCCCCTTGCTGATGGGGCAAGAAAGTGGTCTTCAGCAGAAAAGTCTCAGTTTTGGCAGGGTAGCTGCTGCTGCTCCAAGTCACTGTGCACCTTCTGCAGCGCCTGCAATACCCAGGAACCGTGAGTTCGAGGAGGCGCGGTGCCCTTTTTCAGGAAAGGTCTGGTGAAACCATCTCTTCAGAAAAAACGAACCTTAAGTTGAGAGAACTGACCACCGGCTCCGGGAGGCCAGCGACGGAGCCGAACGTGCAGTAGACGTGATCTTCAAAATTAACGACTTCCTGGACAACACGCGGCTTGGACGCAACAAGGACACTTGTCCCTGACTACAGGGACCTGCTGTCTGCATCTGCAGAAACACGACACCTGCACTTTCATGCACGTACAGATCACCATGTGTTTTTCTTTGCACGTACATACCGTATGTGCCCATCCGTCCAGTCTAATGCATCTGTCCATTTTCTGCCTGTGTACCGGTACATGTGAGTCAACGTGGAATGGTCAGAGCGCGTTGTTTCGGCGAGATGCCGCCGTGCGTGCCCCCCCCCAAAAAACAACCAAACCCTGGTTTGGCGGGTGGGGGGCAATACCCTCGACATCCGTAAACATCCCTAAACCAAGCATCTTCTGTTGCGCGGCTCGGGGCAGCCGGTGTACGTGTTTCCCATACGGTTCAAAAATGCCTGAAGTGCTGGTGATGTTTGAGGAAGATGTCCAAGAAGGAGGTGCTCCTGCAACGGACCTGGTTGCTTCACTGGTCTCTGTTCCCCATCTTTACAGCTCCTTGGATTCTACAGATTCCCCCGAAAGAGTTTTAGGAGGGCTCGTTGTAGAGCAGGAATGCGAAAGAAGGGCTTCTGTGCGCAAACTCTATGGTTTCGCCTCCAGAAAGCACGCCTGGAACATGACAGCCTACCCGAGACTTGCGTTTGATGTTCAGCTCATGAGCCGATTCAATTTCCGGGGCAACGGTATGTTCTTTGAGAAATGAGCTGAATAAGCTGTCCACAGGCTGAGAAGGTGGAGGTCAAACTGCTGGATTTCTTCCTGAACGAGAAGAGTCTGACCCGGCCTCAGTCATCTTGGACTGCCGTCAGCAAGGCTTGCTATGCTCAGCGCAGAAATGACATCGGTGGTGTTGGGCGGCAGAGATACGACCAACAATGACCAACACTAGGGTTGAATCACGGCCCAGTTGGGACGAATCGCAACAACTTGCAGATTGCACTCTAGGTTCTTTCGCGCCATGGTCTTCACATTATGTCTTTCTGGGATGTTTTTTTCAGGTCCTGCATTTCGCTCTCCTGCCCTCACCTCTTCCGCTACGTGGCCGCCTGCCTGATCCTGCAGAAGCGCCTCAAGCACTTGATGAAGGCCTGACCCCCTTGGATGTCAGTTACTGTTTGCCTGCAGCACTTACAAATGTAAGACTTGTTCGTGGCCAGCAGCTTAATCGCCTCACTCCCTGAAGGACACTGTCTGGATCATTCAGCACGAAAACGCTGCTACTGAGCAGAGCTTATTAGAGATTTGGGAGCGTATGCTTCTGTGTCCATGACTAGCAGGTTTAGGGCGGTCAGCCAGCTCGGAAATTGAAACTGCTTGGCCAATCGTAAGGTGTACAGCGATCCGGTGACGCGTTTTCTGATGGCCCTGTACGTGGACATGGATGCTCGGCAAGTTCCCACCTTTGCAGCACTCTCTTTTTCAGCTTCGCAATCGGATGAGGCAGTCAGTCCTTTCACGAGAATCTAAGGATTTCGATGAGGCGCAACACGAGCTGCAGAAATGCGAGCCTCGGTTTTGGCACACCCGCTCCGCTATATGCACAACATGGCACGCAATGCAAATTACAGTAATGGCCACAGCCAGAGCACCCGTTCGTTCGCAGTACAAAACCGATGCATCCGGGAGACTCAGAGCACAGTTGTATTTCGTCGACATGGCCAAGGAGAAAGTGTGCAAGGTGGACTACTTCCTGATGCGCCATTGGCAAGATTTCCAGGCCAGGAACTCTGCATGCACTAGGAACTGAAGAGCTGGCGGAGACAGACACAGCTGGCACGGCGTGCCCTCGCTTTTCTCTCTTTTTTCCAGCCATGGGGCCGGACAAGTCTGAAGGAACATGCTTTGCATTTGAGGCTGAAATGGATTGAAATGGCATTAAGTGCTGGAGACAGGCACATACACCCCCATGCCATCTTTGCGGCGAGACGGCCGGGGACATGTAATTTAGCAAACGCAAGCAAGTTCGGGCCTCAATAGTTGGCCAACCAACTTCAAGAGCTAAGAGGATGACCTCTTGCACAAATCTCGCAGCATTCAGAAGCCCTCAGGACAGGAATGCATAGCAGGTGACACAAACCCACCATCCCTCACAGGGTGCGCTGCGCCCACTCTCTCTGCAACTTCCGGTGCTTGTGGACCCTCATTTGCGGAGCCGGATTCTGCATGTTCATGTGCAGGAGAATGCCCGGCTGCTGATCTTCGAGACTTACTGCAGGATCCCGCTGCTTGCGTTCACGATGTTGCGAACAGATCGTTCCTTCATCCACGGGGGGAGGGAGTTTTTTTTTGGTCAGTTTTTCTGCTTGCTACTTTGGTTACTTTGCAGCTGACAATGGTGAAGGATCCATCAGTGCATCAACATTGGCATGATCGCTTCCAAGCTGAACATGGAAGCCGAGGAGATGCCAAGTCTGTCCCCACCAGTCCTGAAATCCTAGCTTGGCATCCAAAGGCTTTAGGCACCCCAGGCTGGGGCTTGTTGAACTACTTTACTACTTCCGCCCTTGTGAATTCCATGGGCACCTGAGGTTTAGTCATGTGGACGTGCATGTGCCAAGCCCTTGCGTCAGGAGGCGGAGGTGTGGATCGTCGGAGTCCCGGAGTCCCAGCCACTGCAGAAGCGACGTTTTGACAAGAAGTATGGGTTTCTGCATCGCTCCCCGCTCCCCCCCAAAGTCTCTACTGCAGTCGAGCTGGGTACTGTTGCTGCTTTGTGAACAAAAAGTTAAGTGCGTAGATCGCGGAAGCATGAGGAAGGGCTTGCGGAAGCATGTCTCTGCGGAAAAGCGATGCGCGAATACTACTGCAGTCGTTGTATCATTTTGCAGTGCAGGCACGTTGTGCTTCGACCGATGGTTGGACAGCATTCCTGTTCTTTCTGAATGCTATCAGTCGGTGTTATTGAACGGGGGTGGTGTTTGGCTGCGACGTGGGACGAGAGGCTCGCGGCCCATTTGCTCATACATGCTCAAATCAAGGCCCAGACCCTTTGAAGTGTGAATTCTTGTGCCAAGTTCTTTGCCCAACCCTTGTACTGCACCCGACCACGAATCATGAACTCCCAGGCTTCAGCCCCGAACCCGAAACCTCGAACCTCTGCGAGTTCCAGTTCGTCGGGCCCTCTCTGGGCCGCAGAGCCCCACGAAAACGAGCTTAGCAGCGTGCTCCGGAACGCCACAAACATGTGCGCAAAGGACCGTGGAAGGACCGCAACAGGGTTCGCGAAAGATGGAAAGTTTCAGCTATGACCCAGTAACTATGGATGCAGCACTTGGGCCTTTTGTAGCCACCGTGCACCTGAGAGGGGGTGGGACGGTTCAGTGGCGCTTTGTATGCAATTGGTCCCTGGTGGCACGATGCTTGAAGTTTTGCCTCAAGTTGAGAATCAGGTGAAGTTGATCCAGAATGCCAAGCTCGATGCCCGAATCGATTCAGAGAAGTGCCGCGTGGTGATGTCCAAAGCACCTCCCAGCGTCTACCAGCAGGCTGCTCGAACCAAGGGGTTCCGAGTGGGGACAAGATGTAGGGGAAAGCGTTCTGAGATCTTTGCTTCTGGCGTTCCGGGGCTGAGACCGGGTTTAGCAAATTTTCGTTGTAAAGTTGAAGCTCTTATGAATAGGACCCCGGAAAAAACGAGGACTCTAGTGACAGCTGCAACAGCCTGAAGGTCAGAGCTCGGCTACACATTCAGCCAGGGGTTCGAGTTGGGTTACAAACGGTTTGTCCAATGAACCCCCGCCGCAGACCTGCAACCCTCTTAATAGCCTCTAAGTGTCTTCACACCACTCATTCTGCCCCTAACCCTATGAATCCTAGTACTACTTCGTAATCCTATAGCCCCGAAGTTGTAGACCTCCTTCTTGTCGAGGTCATCGAGAAGACCAAGAACCTCTCCTTCAGAAGTACCATGTGTCCTGGCAGATGTCAAGAATTCAAACGGCTGTCAGTCACGAGTGTAGCCGCTGTTTCTCGTTCTGGCAAGTCTGCGAGGCTGCTTTCCAACTTGGAGAAGAGAGAGAAGGCGTGTTGGTGTGCCCCTTGGTTTGAGAGCTGCACGAAGGGACCCTGCTACCTGCGAAGGACATGCGCACGTCATCCTGAGCGTGAGCCCGTCCCCTGGACGAACGCTGAAAGAGGCCGCGCGAGAACAGTGGCCAACTCGACTTGCATGCATTGACAGCTCGCATGCTGCAGCATCTTCCAACATGCAGTACATGCACTACTAGTTACCTACGTCTCCTCGTATCGGCCACCTGTCACAGAGTTATCCAGTGATGAGGGGCCGTTGGCAAGTCGAGTGTGCCCACGACTCGTGTGATCCTGCATGTGTGCAGAGAAATAGCGGCGCGAAATAGGCAGACAACGCAGATACGGACCCCAGCAGCAGATGATGGGTTTCCAATCTAAGAATGGACTACCCCCAGCTCAGCCTCAGGACCCTCCGGCCCAGATTCTGCATCACAGAGCCCAGAGAAGGCTTTAGACAAACACGGCGGATTCTGAGCACACGCTCAGAGCTTCTGCTGGCCCTGCCTTGGAGTTATGGACATGCAAAACTACCATGATCTATGTGCATCCATGCATCCCGGCTGCTCCACTGCTTGTAAGTGTGCAGCTTTCAAAACACATCAAGAGATGTCAAGAGATAGGCATGAAAGATGATAGAGGACCAAGGCATGCAGAGTTCGATAGGAACGGTTCCAGACTTTCACAGGAAGCTGGGTGTGAACGCGCCCGCAGTCCATGCTTGGACTACCTGTCTTTCCTGTGAGATGCCGTGGCTTTAAGCCCTCGTGCTGGCACGAGGCATTCTTGGGACAATTTCATGTGAGCTGGCTCTTCTGGGCCAAAGATTGGGGCAGGTTTAGGACCGATGCCTATGCCGATAGAACAAATATCCCATCTTAAGCTTACCTGCGCCCCGTGCCATGAAAGAAGAAATTGTCCAGCTTTGTGCGGGCTGCCGACAGGTTTTGCCAGAAGCCGCCAAGCTCGTGGTAGGGCGACCAGTTCAAAATTCTGAATCCTCCACCTTGTATACTACGCTCCAGAAACCAGTCCAAACCCTCTTTCCTCCCCAGCTGGGTTGGAAAACGATATTACATATATATATATATATACATATTGTATATACACATGCATTTTTACATATACATATGTATGTATGTGTGTATATATATATACTATAATATACCTTTTTTGTTACCACCCGTCTTCCCGTATAAAGATAACATGTATTTGGCTTCAACCGAGCCGTCGGAGACCATGGTTCCCAGAGGAAACAGCGCCTTGCAACTACAACGGCCCCATTAATCAAGTGAAGAATAGATCTTATAGGATTACACCCTTACGAATTAGATATTAGTTCCCCCCCCAAGTTCAAACTGTAAACATGTGAGTTAGGGTTGTTCAACATAAAGTTCACCTGTTTAAAAGGACGGGAAGAGCATGCAGGACAGCTTTTCCTTTTTTGTGTATTTATAGCCGCATAGGTAGGTTCATGAGTAGAACTGACCTCCAGCTATGCTAGTTGCAAAAGTTACGTTATGCAGCCTTCTTTGCTTGAAAATAAGAGTGCTGTCAATTCCAGGCATTGAATCAGTAAAAAGAAATGTTATATGTAAGTTAGAGAGTTAGAGGCCATCTGTTACGAACAATCAGTTGCTAAAATCGCCCCCTGAACGTAATACTCTTGTGCAACGTATACCCGAGCCCGTATCAGAACTACCTTAACCGATACTGCTAGTAGTATAGGGTTGTGCACGCGATGTCTACCACACTGTGTTGTCTGCCCCTGCACCTTACTTCGTACAAAACTCCGGGACTTCCCCCACATCAATGCAATATAACCCTAAACCCTAAACCCTAAACCCTATGACAAATCTTCTCGAGCAGCTGGTCTCTTCGAACGGTCGCCAGGCCATGTAATCGCCGACTTCCCGAGGTCGCAGTTGTGAGCACTCCCAGGTAAAAGTCGCGCCTTCCTGGCCCTCCGTAGGCTTGGGGGGTTTAGGGTTTAGGGTTTATAAGGGTTTAGGGTTTAGGGTTTAGGGTTTGGAACCGGGAGACCCTTTAAGCCTTAAGCTTCCCAAAGACCTTCGCCACATGTGGGTGTTGCGACAGGCTGCACGAGCACCTGGCCACGGAACAAGACACTGGCGGAAGCCTTTTGAGTAATCCTAAGCTTCAACAAGAAGTGGCCAGGTGACAAAGGACAAAGATGAAATCCAAAAAGAGGCCCTAAACCGCTCATGCATTCAGGCGCATGAACCGACAAGCGGGGCGGAGCAACACATGAGGGTGTTTTCTGCGTCGGCTGCCCCAGATAAACCCCAGCTACTGCCCGAGGCAAGACAATGTGGGTTTTGTTCATGGCGATGAACGGAGACCCATCTGGCATGCAGCCCCTTTTCGATGCATACCCAGCGACTCTCATCTTCGCAGTGGCTGGGCTGAGCAGACGAGAATGGAAGAAGCAGAAGAATGGTTTTCGCAAGCACGAACTGGATAATTACAAGGCTTGAGTCTTGATTTAGGCCCTGGCAAGATGTGGCATTCTTGTTGCTGCTGCGGGTCTCAACTGTGCGTGGCATGCCATTTGGGCGGCACCATTCACATTTGTGCTGCGCCCCAGGCCGGCTACATGATCTTCACCAGTTTTGCTCCATGGCCTCAGTGTAATTAATTACGTGGCGGTGCTTCCTGTTAATTGCAGCTTAACTTTAGTCGTCTTGGAAGCCACATACCTGTTCCAGGATTCTTTGTATGTGGTCAAGGGTTCTTGCACATCTTTGTACACAAGAAGTTCCGGGGTCAACCGCCCACAAGAACAGCTACCTTGTATCGCTGTGCCCCAATGTTTAGCCTTCATTCGTTGCACACTTATGGGGTTTGTGGCAATAGGTCCCTAGCCGCATTTCCCTACACAGTTATACATCTGACCTGGTTGTGAGAGGCATGTTTACTGTCAGTCCCACGTACTGTGTGGGATACGAAGGCTACCTCAGGGGTACAATGGCTGCCTCATCATCTCTTATGAAGCCTTAAACCCAGGCGATCCTGTCGGTGCTGACAGGTGTGGCCGGGGCCCCAGGTGAAGCGGACGTTTGGATTTCTTGTTCAGGCCCTAATCCTTGAATCAACCGAGTATAAAGAAGCACCCTTATCCTTAATCTTGAACGAGAGTTCTTGAGGGTCAAGCTGGGATGTGGGTCCTTGCCGGCGTGGTGTTGCGAGGCCATTTGCCCTGACATTACGAAGTCAGATAGATAGTTCTCTAAATCAGGGTCCCTCTTTGGGGTCCCTTTTTAAGGGGTGCCTGCTTTTCATGAGTACCCAAAAAACGGACCCTAATGTAGGAAGGAAACTGCCCAGATGCCGGTTTTACTCCTCATTACAGCAGTTGCTGTTGGCAGTCTTGCGCGACTGCGCGGTGGGAGTTCAAGCTCCAGGGCCACGGTTCTTGGAGCTTCTCGCACTTTTGAATAGAAGTTCTGGGACACTACCCTGTCGTGAGTCAAGATGTCAGGTGGCAGACAAGATGGCATCAGCAGCAGAGGAGCACGAGAAGGAAGTGGAGGTGCGATTTTTGGCCTTTGAGCTGCTTTGACCCCTTCAGTTGGGATGTTCCCCCTTATACTAACAGTCCCGAATCCCTGTTCCTAGAAGGGGGTAACATCCCAGGATGGGCTAGTGGGCCTTAGAATCCACATAAACCAGGCGGATTAAAGGCATTTGTTTGGGCTGCATTCCCGAGCCTTTCGCTCCCTCCACAGCACGCCCCACACCCGTGAACATCCTAAAACCCATGAGATGTAAACCTGAAGGGTTGAGCCAGCGGCCAGAGGGCCTAAACCATATGTTTTCAGAATAGGGTTCACTGGTTTCTGGGCAAAAGGCCACATCAGCCCGGAAGCAACACACGGTTTAGGGTGTGGGAGCAAGATGGCGGGCAGGTTGTGAGGGATAAGATAACGAAATAGTGTTCCTGTGCAAGAAAGGCTCCTCCTGCTGCTGCCGCTGCTGCTGCTGCTGCTGCTCCTGCTCCTGCTGCTCCTGCTGCTGCTGCTGCGGCGCTGTTGCTGTCGTCCTGTTTGAGTTAGGGTTCCGGGCTAAGGTTAGTGTGCCGCCGTGCTGGTGTGAGGTGAGTGTGGTTGCGTAGAGTAGAGCCAAGCCGAACCATCTGCCATGCAGTTCTTGACATGCATTTTTTTGTTTGTTTTTTTGTGTTTTTTACGGGCTGTGGGCTGCGTTTGGAGTGCTCTCTGCGCTGGTTCCGTGAGTTGCCCGCGTAGCTCGCGTAGAGCCAACCCCAACCGTCCGCTATTCATGAAATTCGACATTACTGGTACCTATGCTATGAATAAGCGGCAGCTCTGCCAATCACGAAAACGTCTTCGGTGATATGCCAGACATTGTCTCGTGTGCGCCCTTCGGGACCCCCAGAGCCGTTTACATTCTGCGCAGTGAACTACTTATTTTAAGGGGCTGCGCCCATGGGCGGGCAGCGCAGGCAGAAGCGCGGGGCGAGCAGTTTCTAAGCATTTTGAGGCCCCTAAACTCCCTTAAAATCTCTAAGCGTTTGAGGCTCCTCAACCCCCTCAAAGTTTCCAAGCATTTTCAGGCCCCTAAACTCCCTTCAAATCTCTAAGCGTTTGAGGCTCCTAGACTCCCTTAAAGTTTCTAAGCACTTTATAAGGCCCCTAAACTCCCCTTTTCCTAGCCCCGGGCTTAGACACATCGCTTATGCCCGCCCTTTGGGGGGCATCATGCTCCTGATGTGCCCCCGGGGTCCCGCCCCGGGAGCCGCTGATGCTCCTGATGCGCGCCTGGGGGTCCCGCGGGCTGGACCCGCTGATGCTCATGATGTGCGCCCTTTGGGGGCCTCCGTGGCGACGCAAAAAACCACGAAAAAAAAACCGTTCACCGGCGGCACGCGGGGGTCGGCGGCACTGGCGTCCGGCCTATAATTCTGCTTCGCAGAAGGCCAGAGGCCAGCAAGGCTATTCCCGGGACGACCCGGGTTAAAAGGTCCGCATTTGCTCGGTCCTTTGGGGACCTCGCGCTGCCCGATTTAATGGCTACCGCCAGTGCCGCCGACCCCTTGGAGGCAAACGCCTAAGCCCTAAACCCTGAACCCAAGCCGCCATCCGCATCGTCGCCGTCCTCTTCGCACAG